GGAGGAGCATTTGGGGAACCGGGTACAGCACTTCCTTCCTGTTCCCTGTGCCTGTGGATGGACATGTACAGCAACCCAGCATGAGGAGGGCTGGAGTTCCAGGGCCCAGACCCCTCAGGAGGAAGGTTTGGGTCACACCCAGGCAAGTCATAGGGGTCCCCACCCCTGAACTGGGAAACCCATGGCAGCCCCTGTGCAGAGGCCCCTTCCCACGGGCCGTTCCCAGACAGTGACCATGCACTGCAGGGACCCAGGAAGCCATTCCTTGGGTCAGGGCCGCCCTCTGATGCTGACAGTGGCTCAAGCACTGTCCTGTGGCCTCGCTCAGCATCACTGAGATCGCCCAGTAGTGACCTAAGACACGTCTGACAGACCTCCTCTTCCTGACCATCGGGTTGGATCTGACCCTGCTGGCTCGCCCAGCGAGTTCTGGCTCCCTCTCCATAGGCTCTGACAGGTGTCCCCTGGTACACACTGCTGAGGGCAATCCCACCGTAGAATCTGCTGCTTGGGGGACTCGAACTAACAAAATCATTTGCATCTCTGCCAGCGATCTCTTACTCCATCGAGTAAAATCCTTCTCTTTCCCCAACTTCTCCACCAGCATCGGCTCTCTTGTGCTGCCCTTGGTATTATCTTTCTGAGGTAACAGACGCTTATGTTTCAAGCCACTAAAGTTTGGGGAAGTTCCTTGCTCTGCAGTGAATAAGTCACAAGGCTCTCTTTGGTTTCTTTTACTCTGCATCGCTCTTTCCTTGCACCTGGAAAATGTCACCTGCACTCACTGTTTCCAGTTCCTCTCCTCCTGTTCTCTCTTTCATTCTGTCTTTTCTCCATTCCTCCTTCTTTTTCTCCTTCTCTCCTTCCTTTATGCTTATTATCAGATCTCAACCATATAAAATAATACTCTGCGGTTATGCTAAAGGAAGCATTACCTGGGTGTATATGTTAAAAGTATAGACACAAGGGATATGGAATAGAAGGAAAGGAAAGGAAATAATTAATAATCTGAAAAGAAATTGCCCAGGTGATTCTGCAACCAAGGACCTGACTTTCAACTCTTAATGCTTCCATTTAAGCTGAGGTTGGTTTATTTTCAGAACAACTATATCAGCAACATGAAGTCTTCCACATTCCTGGTAAAAGTTTAAATAGACACTCGCACTTTTAAATCACATGAGCATCATTGAGTCTGGCTAAACTACAGGCCCCACAGGGCCCAGCATTCCCATCCCTGACCACCCCCTCAGGGGGATTTCTTGCCTTGTGCCCCAGGAGACATGCTTGCAGCTAAAACTGGAATGACCACAGATACATCAATAGGAAAATAGCAAAATTTCAGTCCAAACATAAAATTTAAGACTTCAGCACTAAAAATAGAAGAAGGACAGTCACAGATGAGAGATGACCCTTATTAACACTGAGCCTCAGAAGACTCCATGCAGTACAGAACATTTAAAGCTGGCAAAACTAAATAACATTTATTATGGAGATATATACACTTATTATAAAATCTTTAGAGACTCTTATTATAAAATCTTTAGAGATTCCATCTGGGGGACCGGACTGTGAGTGTCAATGCCAACAGGAATCCCACAGTGAGGTGGCTGAAGGACACTGTATTCACTGCAAACAGTTGGATGCTGACAATTTCTATATATAAAAGGGTAATATGCTAATTAGACTAGACATCCTTCCTGATGAAACCATGGCCAGAGGGAAGCCAGCCCAGGTCCCGGGTGCCTGACAGAAGCCAGGGCCGGCAGCGGGGGAAGGAAGGCCTACTCTTGCATGAATTTTCGTGCATTGGGCCTCTAGTCTCTATATAAACTTAGACAAAGGTCCTGAGCTCAGATGAGGACAGAGCTTTGTGACCCTGACCAGAGACCCCCATCCACACCACGCCTGCATTTCCCATTAAGATAATGTCAGCAAGCAAATGAGGGTTATTCTGAGCCACTAAGTTGTGGTGATATTTATTTACAGTAATAGAAAACTAATACACAGGCTCAGCTGTGCCACAGATCAGCACAGAGCATTTATTTCCACTGAAATAAATTTATGAGCTGACACATACAGTAGTTACATGTAATAAAATCTTTCCTAACTTTTTGGGTTTTTTATTTAATGATTTTATGTAATGCAATTAAAATTTTAATACAACTGGTATTGCCCTAGCCGGTTTGGCTCAGTGGGTAGAGTGTCAGCCTGTGGACTGAAGAGCCCTGGGTACGATTCCCGTAAAGGGCCAGTACCTCGGTTGTAGGCTCCTACCCCACTCGGGCCCTGGTCAGGGCGCTAGTAGGACACAACTAATTGATATGTTTCTCTCACATTGATATTTCTCTCTTCCACTCTTTCTAAAAATCAATAGGAAAATATCCTCAGATGAGGATAAAAAATATATACAATTGTCATTCATTCATTCAACAACGATTAACTTACTGTCTACTATGTACCAGAAGCAGCTCCATGTGATGGGAGACAACTTTGACCCAAAGCCCCTGTGCTCCCATGTCTTACAGGCTAGAGGCTTCCCAGAGTGAGATGCAGCCACTGGAGCATTTTCAGAGCTGAAACTGCACAACCCGACTCACATTAGCAGGATTGTTGACCCTGTGGGGAGAATAGACCCCGGGTGGCAGGTAAGGGGGTGACACTATTGCCATGGTCAGGAGTGGGAGGGTGATAGAGACAGAGGGGTGAAGAGGCCTGAGGGGTGAGAGACAGAGAAGGGCTGGACGAGCAGGGGTGAGGAAGAGAGTGGAGGTAGAGGTTCTAACGCAGTGGAACTCTCAGATGTAAATGTGGTTTGTAGATCTATAGTAACTATATCCACAGAGCTAGCAGGGTGTTCTTTGAATTTGATACTAAATACATTCTGTGGGGCTGCCTAAAAACTAATTGCCACCTTATGTTAATCGGTTAAAAAGTACTTTGTCCCGACTATCTGGAATGATATTTATCTTCCAAGTACATGGTCACATTTCTAACTGGAGTTTAAGCTATTTGAAGGCACAACCTGTGTGTCATAGACCCTTTTGTCTCCTTGTTTTGAGCACTCTGTCCTGCAGTTAAAGGGCTGGCTCAATAGAAGTGTTTTGCCTGTGGTGGTGATAGTGGTGGTGATGGTGATGGTGATGGTGATGGTGATGGTGATGGTGATGGTGATGGTAAGAGTAATTGTGGTTGGTACTAAGAAGCAAAAAGGTTAGAGACAATTTGTTCCCTCAATATCAACAAAAGGAAGTGTTTGGACAAACATGTAATACTAGGGGCCGAGTGCACGAATTCTTGCACCTTGAAGAAACTGTGGGCCCTGAGGCTGTGGTGGGCAGCAGAGGATGGGCTGAGACAGGGGTAGGTCTCCGCCCATCCTCCGCTGCCCTGATAGCCCTTCAGGAGCAGGGGGAGGTGTAGAAGCCTTCAGGGGTGATCAGGGCCGACACCTGCAGCGGCTAGGAGAGGAGGCTGCCAGCCCTGATCTCCCATCAGGAGCAGGGGGAGGTGGAGAAGTGCTGAGGGGCGATTGGGGCCAGTGACTGCCACTCAAACCTGCTGATGGCACTGAGCAATCGGGGCTAGCGCCAGGCACTGGCAGTGTTTGCCAGTGGTAGCTCTGTCGCCAACAGCAGGTGCAAGTGCCTGGCAGGACCTTGGTGTGCAGGAACAAAGAATTTTCAGTAACCACCAGAGTCTCGCCTTGATGACTGTGACCGGCACCTCGCCTTGATCTGGTGCCCCCGCTCACCTGCTCCACCAACAGGACATGGCCGACCCTGGCATGTTCCACGCACACGCCCTGGTGGTCAGTGCATGTCATCACGACTAGTTGTTTAGTTGTTCGATTGTTCTGGTTATTCCGCCATTCTGTCTATTTAAATATTAGCCTTTCATTACATAGGATGATTAAAACTCCTTTAAGAAAAGCACCACTAACTAGTAATCTATAATTCAGAGTACAGGCTGTGGAGCCAGACTACATTTGAAAGCCATTCCAACATCTATTTATTAGCTGCGTGACCTTAAGCACATTACTCAATCTCTCTATGCCTCAGTTACCTTGTCTCTAAAATGGGAATAATAATAATAAAACCCATGTTTGTGAAAGAAATATGTGTCCCGATGAAATGTGCTCACTGCTTCCATGTGAGTAATTCATAAGGATGGCAGGGCAGGAGGGCTGGGAAGGGCACTGTGACCCACTGAGCACCTGCAACTGTGAGGATGCACAGGCTCCTGGTGAAATGCACAGTCACACATGCTCCCTGGGCTCCTGTAGGGAGGGTGTGGGGGATGCACAGGGACAAGCTCAGGGCTGGGGAATGCAGGTCACTTCACAAGGTAACAGCCCCAGCCACACACTTCCTGTGTGGGAAGGAGAGTTGAGGAGCTTTGTAGCTCTGACTGCAGGGCTGTTTAGACACTTTGCATATGAAGCGTCTGAAATCACTCATTTACAGATTAGCTTCCTGATGTCCAGGCTTCCCAAGACTGTGGTGCCCCTGCCCTTCACTGGTCTTTTCAGGCCCAGCTCCTCCAGGATTACAGAGGAGACCCTGTGCCCCGCCTTCTCTCACAGGGAGCTCGCTCTCTGGCATCAAGGTCCCAGGGTGAGTTTCCCTCTAGAAGAGTCCAGGGCAGAGGTGAGGGTGGGAGGCAGAGTGCATTCCAGGGAGAGGGGTTCCAGGAGGAGAAGGGGAGGAAAGGGCTGGTCCCAGCCTGGGGAGTCTCCCTGGTTCTCACACAGCCCCTGGGCAGGACTGAGGGAGACAGTGTGACAGAGCTCCGTGCAGGGGGAGGGGTCAGGGCAAGGTCCCAGGTCCCAGGCCTGGTCTCAGGGGCCCAGCCTCAGGGAGGAGACTGAAGCGGGAAACTCAGTGTTGGGGAGTCCCCACCTCCCCGCAGTTTCACTTCTCCCTCTCACAACCTGTGCGGGGCCCTCCTTCCTGGATACTCGTGACGCGGCCCCAGTTCTCACTCCCATTGGGTGTCAGGTGCGACAGAAGCCAATCAGGGTCACCTTTGTCCCCAGTTAGAAGTCTCTGCGGACTCACCAGGACTCACAGACTCCCCAGACCCTGAGGATGCTGCTCACGGGGCCCCCAACCCTCCTGCTGCTCTGGGGGGCCCTGGCCCTGACCCAGACCTGGGCGGGTGAGTGCGGGGGTCGGGAGGGAATGGCCTCTGGGGAGGAGGAGCGAGGGCACCCGGCGGGGGCGCAGGACCCCGGGAAAGGGCGTCTCCGCCGACACCCCAGACCCCATCCCGTCCTGACTCCTCTGTTCTACGTCCCGCTGCCCCTGTTTCCTCTCTTGGGCCCCTTCCCCTCTCCTGTCCCTCCGACCCCGGACCCCGGGTGTCAGCCCCTCCGCTCCGGCCCCCAGGCCCCCACTCCCTGAGATGGTTCTTCACCGCCGTGTCCCGGCCCGGCCGCGGGGAGGCCCGGTACCTGGATGTCAGCTACGTGGACGACACGCGGTTCGAGCGGTTCGACAGCGACTCCGAGAGTCAGAGGTCGGAGCCTCGGGCGCCGTGGGTGGGGCAGGTGGAGCCGGGCTATTGGGACCTGAGCACGCGGAACGCCAAGGCCACCGCACAGACTTTCCGACTGAACCTGCAGACCCTGCGCGGCTACTACAACCAGAGCCAGGACGGTGAGCCACGGGGGCCGGCCCCCATCCCCACGGACAGGCCGGGGTCGCCCCGATTGTCCGAGTGCGAGCTTCACCCCAACCCTCCCCCCCATAGACACACCCGGGAGGAGCCCGCGGGGACCTGGACCCGTTTTACTTTCAGTTTCTGTTTAATCCCCGCGGGCGGGTCGGAGGCGGGGCTCAGTGGGCGACGCTGACCTCGGGGCGGGTCAGGGTCTCACACGCTCCAGGAGATGCGGGGCTGTGACATGGGACCGGACGGCCGCCTCCTACGCGGTTATGACCAGTTCGCTTACGATGGCACCGACTACCTCGCCCTGAACGAGGACCTGCGCTCCTGGACCGCGGCCGACACCGCAGCTCAGATCACCCGGCGGAAGTGGGAGGCAGCCGGTGAGGCTGAGCGAGTCAGGAACATCCTGGAGGGCAGGTGCCTGGAGTTTCTCCACAGAGTCCTGGCGATAGGGAAGGAGGTGCTGCAGCGCGCAGGTACCAGGGGCCTGGGGCCTCCCCCGTCTCCCCTGGGGCTGGGGCTCCACAAGGAGACAGGACACAGGGTCAGTGTCAGACCCCCCTCCTGTGGGCCAGGAGACTGAGTCCGCCTGGCTTTTCAGATCCAGTGACGCCCTCCCTTCTCTCAGAGACACCTAGGGGTGCAGTCTCTCAGGGACAATTAGAGGGGAGACCAGCCTGAAGGAACTGAGCAGCGGTTCCCATTGGCACTGCAGTGGCTCTGGGACACATGGGGGACTTGCTCTCTCAGGCCCCGCTCCCTGCCCCTCCCCCAGTGTATCTGAGGTCTGACCCCGACTTTTCTGAGTCCTTTGGCCTCCGCCCAGGACAGGACCAGAAATCCCTTTCTCCCCTGAGACCTGCCTCCTGCCCTGGGCTGTGTCACTCTGACTAGAACTTTCTAAGGAGGAGAGGCCATCCCCAGGTGCTCTGTCCAGGCTGGTGGTGCTGTGTGCTCCCTCGCCCTCCCCAGGTGCCCTGTCCACGCTCAGGTGGTCACATGAGGGCTGCTAGAGGGTCCCCTGACAGTGCCAAGTCCCTGAATTTCCTCCCCTTCTCCTCAGACCCTCCAAAGACACACGTGACCCACCACCCCATCTCTGACCGTGAGGTCACCCTGAGGTGCTGGGCCCGGGGCTTCTACCCTGCGGACATCAGCCTGAGCTGGCAGCGTGATGGGGAGGAGCAGACCCAGGACACGGAGTTTGTGGAGACCAGGCCTGCGGGGGATGGGACCTTCCAGAAGTGGGCGGCCCTGGTGGTGCCCCCTGGAGAGGAGCAGAGATACACGTGCCATGTGCAGCACGAGGGGCTGCCCGAGCCCCTGACCCTGAGATGGGGTGAGGAGGGGCGTGGGCACAGAGCCTGGTCTTAAGGAGCAGGGGCCTGTGGAGGACTTCATTGGGGTCGGGGCTGAGGCCTGGGGGTCAGGGCCCTCACATCCCCTTCCCTTCCCAGAGCCGTCTCCTTGGGCCACCATCCCCCCTGTGGGCCTGGTTGTGGGCCTGGTCATCCTTGGAGCTGTGGTCACTGGAGCTGTGGCTGGAGCTGTGATGTGGAGGAGGAAGCGCTCAGGTAGGGAAGGGGTGGGGCCTGAGTTTCTCGTCTCACTGGGGGTTGCAAGCCCAGGTAGAAGTGTGTTCTGCTTCATTAATGGCAAGTACCATCCCCACACGTGTGGTTGCCCAGTGTGGGGCCCTATTTGCTGACACTCACTCTTGAGTAAGACACGTGTGGAAATGAGGGACAGATTCATCACCTGATGATTCTAGTGATGGGGCCTGGTTCCCAGCACTCCCAGGTCAGGGTGAAAGGTCCCTGCTGAGGACAGACCTCCAGGAGGGTGGTTGGTCCAGTCCCCACACGTGTAGTTTCTTCAAGTTTCCTGATCCTGCCCTGGGTCTGTAGTCACAGTTCTGGAAACTTCTCTGGGCTCCAGGACTAGGAGTTCCTTTAGAACCTCATGGCCCTGCCTCCTCCCTGTCTTCTCACAGGATGTTTTCTTCCCACAGGTGGAAAAGGAGGGAGCTATGCCCAGGCTGCCAGTGAGTATGGAGGGTGACCCTGAGATCCTGTGATAGTACAGACTGGATCCCTTGGGGAACCTCACCCCCATGTTCCTCCCTTAGTCTCCTCTCCTGGGGGCTCTGACCCCGTCCTGTTTTGTTCTACCCCAGGCAGCGATAGTGCCCAGGGCTCTGATGTATCTCTCACGGCTTCTAAAGGTGAGACCCTGACAATAGCAGGGGTGGGACGAAAGGGACAGGACTGGGTGATGGGGACTCTTTGGGACATAGTGAGCCTGCGGTGGGCTGTTGAGAATGTCACTACCTACAGCCACTGAACTGAGTTTGTTCATGATCATTTTCTTCCACAGCCTGAGGCACTTGTCGGGGACTGAGTGATGGGAGATTTGTTCACGCTCCCACTTTGTGATTCAAGAACTTCTGATTTCTTCCTGCAAATGGCATCTGAATGTGTGTGTTCCTATCAGCATAACGTGAGGAGGTGGGAGGCTGGCACACCCCTGCCCACCACATCCCCTCCCCAGCCTTTCCTGTCATATAGAGGTGCGGCTGGCCGTCCCCATTCGTTTTTACTTCCTGGTGCGTTCAGCTACAGCTTCTTACTGCCTGATTGAAATAAGAGTCTGGATATACACTCTTCTTCACTTCTTGCCATGAAGGGGTGATGGGTTCCTTAAAGGAGAACAGCCCGGCTGGTGTGCCTCAGTGGCTGAGTGCCCACCCAGGAACCAGGAAGTCATGGTTGGATTCCCTTTCAGGGCATATGCCCAGATTTCAGCTCAGTTCTCACCAGGGTCATGCAAGTGACAGCCAATGGATGATTCTCTCTCATCATTGATGTTTCAATCTGCCTCTCCCTCCTCTTTTCTCTCTCTCTCTGAAAATCAAGAAAAGATACTTTTTAAAAAAAATTAAAGGAGACGTTCCTAAATTTTGAGAAATAAATGAAAGCACTGTGAACTTTTCAGATCCTGTGTGTTTGCTGTGCTGAGGCTGTTGCAGGGGGCACAGGAGAGGCTGTGAGGACCGAGTATGGTCAGGGCTGTGCCCAGTTTGTTCCCTGGTCTCTCTTCAGCTGGGTCACCTCTCTGCTCCTTTGTCCTTCTCCCTTCAGTAGAACCTTGTTCCCCCAGGACTTTCCATCACAGGGACTCAAACCTCCCCAGGCCTTGTAACTTGTCCTAATGAGGAACATCTCCAAACCCGTGGGCAGCAAGGCCTTCCTGTGTCCGGGTCAGCCTAGGCTCAGGCCTGGGTCCTGTCCTCAGCCCTCATCTTCTGGGACTTTATTTGTTGTTTCCTTGTTTGTGTAGAGCAGTGGTTCTTCTGACCCTTTAAATACAGTTCCTCATGTTGTGACCCCACCATAAAATTACTTTCGTTGCTACTTCATAAGTGTAATGTTGCTACTGTTATGAATCATAATGTAAATATCTGGTATGCAGGATGTTCTTAGGTGACCCTTGTGAAAGGGTCGTTCAACCGCCAAAGGAGTTGCGACCCACAGGTTGAGAACCGCTGGTGTAGAGGATTGTGCCTGTTTGTGTTCTTGTTTTGAGTTTTCGTCTCTTCCTTCTTTTGAGTGTCCCCTATCCAGCATCAGCCAGAGGGGAGTTGTCTGTCATTGTGCCCACAGGCTCAGGGCTCCCTGCACACAAGAGTCCGTGGTATGGAGAGATGACTTTTCAGTCTCATCCTGCTCTTGGCTCCTTCTAGGAATTGATTGTTCTTTCCATCTTTTCCTAAACTCCACAAGGAACCAGGTCCTGGAATTAGCAGGGAGGAAGGGTCCTGTAATTGGTCATCTTAGATAAGTTCCTGTGGGAATTCTGCTCTGCTCGCCCATCCTCTCTCCCTGCCCTTCCCTCTAGCGCTGGCTGCAGTGGGAATCCTGGGATTTCTGAAGCAGAGTCTCCTGTAGATTCAGGGAGAGCCGCTCTGTGGGAAGAGCAGGTGCCCTGATGTCAATGTGAGAGCTCGCTGTGCTGTAGCTGCCACAGGACAGCTGTGGTCTGAGGCCACGTTAATGAAGTCGTGTCTCTAGCATAGGGAGGGCTCTACACTGACCATTCATGAACCAATATTAGTTGTGTGCCAGATGTGTGACAGTGTTTCTGCATGTGGGGACCATTGAAGGAAAATCAGAGAAGCTGCTTTCCTGTGGGACATACGTTGTGTGGGAAGAAACAGAGTGAATGAAAAAGCACAGTAAACAAGGAAGGCGTCTGTGTGACAAGGGGTAACTGTCCTGGGAAAATATGCCATGGGGAAGGCAAGCCCAAGTGTGGCTGTGGGAGACACGGACCATAGGTGGTTTTTTTTGTTTGTTTTTAATATATACACTGAGTGGCCAGATTATTATGACCACCCCTAATTTGCCTACAAAATTTGTGCACTGGGGGAGGAGGGGTGTCCCTCAGCCCGGCCTGCACCTTCTCTAATCTGGGACGCCTCGGGATATGATCCTAAACCGGCAGTTGGACATCCCTCTCACAATCCTGGACTGCTGGCTTCCAACGGCGCACCTACCTGCCTGTCTGATCACCCCCTAAGCACGCCCCTGTCAGCCTGATCGACGCCTACCTGCTCCCCTGCCAGCCCGATTGCCCCCAACTGCTCTCCCCTCTTGGCCCAGTTGCTCCCAACTGCCCTCTCCGCCTGCAAACATCAGGTGATCATAAGTGTATATATGTATTTTTTTATTGATTTCAGAGATAAAGGGAGAGGGAGAGAGAGAGAGAAATATCAATGATGGGAGAGAATCATTGACCAGCTGCCTCCTGCACGTCCCCTGCTGGGGATCGAGCCCACATCTCAGGCATGTGCCCTTGACCAGAATCCAACCCAGGACTCTTCAGTCTGCAGGCCAACACTCTATCCACTGAGCTAAACCAGCTAGGGCATGTCTCTGATTTGGGTGGCCAGTCAGTGGGGGCCTCCTTGGGAAGGTGACCTTGAGGAAAGCATTGAAGGACATGAGGAATTATCCCTGAGGTTGTCGGAAGAAGTCCTTTCCAGCAGTGGCCAGTGTGGAAATGGCCTGGGACAGGAGTGTGTCAGGTTTAAGAGGGAGGAGGCCAGTGTGGGAATGGAGCAGAGAGTAATGGAGATGAGACAGAGGCAAGGCCAGACCTCCTGGGCCTGGAGGATGGAAGAAGGGCAGGGACTGTGCTCTGAGGGAGGAGGGAGCCACAGGAGAGTTTAGAGTAGGAGAGGCCCGGCCTGATACCCCCTTTAAAGGATCACTGTGGCTGCTGAGCTGAGAACACGTGGGAGGTGAGGGGGCAGTGGGGAGGCAGGAGGAGGCTGGGAGGGGCTCCAGGCTGGAATGGTTTCCAGGGGCTGAAAGGTGGAAAGAGTGGGCGTGCTGGGGTTCTGGTTCCTTCTGAAGATGGACTTTAGAGCAAGCCTAATGGTTAATCTGGGGCATTCAAGAGAGGGGTCAAGGTCACCAAAAATCTCTGAGGGTACATGTAGAGAGACAGTGTTCCCATTAGCAGAGATGGGGAAACTGGATCGGCCTATTTGAGGGGCATCACAGGCCTTCACTTTAAGAGATGCTGGAGCTGAGTGTCTGTTAGCAACACAAGGGAGTCATCAGATTTGCAGTTGGACAGACCAGTCTGAAGATCAGGAGAGATGTTGGTTGGAGAAACAGAATTGGGAGGCGACACAGGTAAATGACATTTAAAACCTTGAGAATGGACGAGGTCACCAAGGGACTGATGGCTACAGGAGACCAAGGAAGAAGGACTGAAACCAGGACCCAGTGCTGAGCCATCTGATCAGATCACACACCAGAGCCGACTGCACTGTTCTGTCTCCGAGTCTAGAAGGCGCAGGGACCATGGAGCCCCCAGCGTTCCTGTGCACAGGAACCACCTGGACCTCTTGTTGGCTCAGGACGCCTGGAGCAGAGTGTGAGAGGCTGGCTCTGTCCCAAGGTGCCGATGCTGCTGGTCTTCAGATCCCACATTGAGCAGCGAGAACCCAGACCAGGATCCCCGTGTCTGTGTGTCAGCCTCACCTGCAGGTGTTACACAGGTGGTTCCTGTCTGTGCCTAATTCTCTGGGTCTGTGGGTCTGGGAGAGGCTGGAGGTTTTGTAAGAAGCTCACAAGCAATCCTGGGCTCAGCCAGCCTGGGAACCACTGAGGCCAGTGCCAGAGCTCAGGGCGGGGAGGGGCTTTAGATCACATTTAAAGGTTTTGATTTTTCCTCAGAAAGAGAAGGGAGGGCATGTACCACCTGTTATGAGACATGATGTTGGGAGTTACGTGTCGTTTTCTCTGCCATGGGGTAGAATAACATCTCTGAAGGCTTGCTCTCTGAAACCGGTCCCCAGATAATAATTCTTGGAGCAAACAATGGAATCCCAATCTTTTCTAGTTTAGATATAAAGTAGTATATATATGATATTGGGGTCTAATAGTATTTTGGGAAAAGTACAAGGTTCAGGTCACACAGCCAGAAACTGATCCACATTCAGGCCAGGTGGAGTCTTATACAGAGGCCACTGCCCTGCTGCTGGGGGCCGATGTCACTGCTCACACCACTGACCCCTGACGCTGAGCCCTGGCCCTGTGGTGAGGAGGGCTCCCTCTGCCGCTCCTGACACCGGCACTGTTTCTGCCACTCCCACCACCCTTGTCACATGCAGCCTGTGCAGTCCCAGCCACTCTGTTACCTGGTCCTGAGTCAGAGTCTGGCATGTGGTTACGGGTCCAGATGCATGAATGTTGGGGGACGTGGGTTTCCCTCTCTTATGGAGGGACATGATATCTGCCTCTCACCAAGTCTCTTTGTGTGTGGAATTGTCGTCCTGTCCGTAGAGAGTTCAGTTGCTGGGTGAGGGATGGATAAGGATGACAAATTTCAAATGGAGCAAAGATCTGAGCCTGGAACTTTGGTACTTTGCAGGCACTCAGGTTTGGCTGGAAATCAAGTGACCAATAAAGGACATCCCATCTGGAGGGCTACTCGCTTGCTCTTTATGAGATGGTGAGGAATTTTTTGCACTCACCAAAGTAGTATTACAAGACATGTTAAAGAAACTTCTTTTAAAAAAAAAATAAGGGAAAAAGACGTAAATCTTAATAATAAAATGGTAAAAACTACATCCCTATTGATATTCACTTTAAATTTAAATGCATTAAATGCTCCAATCAAAAGTCATAGGGTAGCTGAATGGATGACAAAACAAGACCCTTATATATGCTGTCTATAAGAGACTGACTTTAGATGGAAAAACATAGACGAAAAGTAAAGAGATCACAGAGATATTTCATGCAAAGGGGAACAAACAAACTAAAAGCTGGGGTAGCAATACTACCACCAGATAAAATAGCTTTTATTTTATTTTTTTTATTTTTTTATTGCTTAAAGCATTACAAAGGGTATTACATATGTGTCTTCCCCCCCCCCCCCCGCCCTTGACTATCCCCTGGCCTCCCCCACCCCCCAGCGTCCCATGTCCATTGGTTATGCATATATGCATGCATACAAGTCCTTCGGTTGATCTCTTATACCCCTCCCTTCTGCCCCCCAACTTTCCCCGGCCTTCCCGTAAAATAGATTTTAAAACAAAGGTTTTAATGAAAGACAAAGAAGAGCATTTCATAATGATAACGGGATCAATCCAACCAGAGGATGTAACCCTTCTAAACATTAATGCACTCAACATAGGAGCACCTAAATGCTATATTTAGCAAATATTAATGGGTATAAAAGGAGAGATTGACAGTAATACAGTCATAGAAGATCTATCTATATAATAAAGAGGTAATATGCAAATTGGTCCTAACAGGATCACAGTAATGACCAATTTGCATATTGACAGACCAGCAGGAGGCTGTGCACACACACAGCAGGGGGACTTTCTGTGCCCGGGCTGACTCCCCGGGAGGGTTGAGACCCCTCGCTTCTGAGCCAGGGGCAGGTGTGGAAACCTGGGGCTTCACCAGGGCCCTGCCTGCCCCTGCACCCCTGCACCCCCCTCAGTGGGAGTCAGGTCCCCTTTGGGGAGGAGAGTGGTCAGTCTGGTGCCCTAGAGGCCCTGCTCTGGGGGTTCTGCCCCACAGCAGGAGAGGGTGCTGGGCTGAGGGTGTGGCCTGCTCCTGGGTAATGGCTTCTTGCTCATTGAAAGGAACCTGGGTGGACAGTAAGCACCAACATGGGATAGAAGCAAACACTCCCCACCCTTCTTGGCCTCAGTTGGCTAGGCACCTTCTGAGCAGCATCTCAGGTGCTTCAGGGAAATGGGGCGCACTGGCTGCCTTGCTTCCCTGCACCCAGCACCGGGCGGGGGAAGTGAGGCTGCATCCCTGCCTGGTGCTGGAGTCCTCTTTTTCTCCCGGGTGCACACGCCTGGTCTGAGAGCACTCTGCCT